AAATATTTTTGTATTCTTCTTGGGGTTATAAGCATTTGCATATGGTAAATTAACTGTCTATGGATGATTATTGCATATGAAACTATTGGCAGCCAAGGCGTTTTGCTCACTTCTTTGGTTTCATAAGTTCAAACCTTAGGGTCACCTATTACAATAATATTGTGGTTTACCTGATTTTTTGGGTTTGTAGATTCAATAGATTCTAGAAATTAGTTTAGATGTACGCAACTGGCCTGACACCCTGGTTACCAAAAAAAAAATGTGGCCTACCAGTACAATTTCAGCTTGGCTTTAACTTTTTGGATAGAAGAAGAAGGATGCATCAGAAAAAATGGGCCTTTCTTTTTTCTTCTTATGGGATATACATTTAATAAGTAGGTTTATAGTTGGCCTTATATGCTAAGGGTTTGTCCCACCATCCCCTTTGATAATTGTCTTCTACAAACAGATTTCTATCCAAACAAAAGATTCACAAAGCAGTCATTGAAGCCATCTCCTTCCATCCCATCCCACCCACTCACTTGCTAAATTGGATGAAGAATCACTTTCACTTGCTCCTTGCCTTAACAAGAGTTGTCAATTAAGTAATGAAGTTGAATATGTAAATTTCAAGATGATTATTGTGTTTTGTTAATGAAATCCTAAAACATTTCAACGTATGGTTTGGAGATCTGAATCTGGATTAGGGAGAGAGTCAAAGCAAGCATTAATGAATGATGACAGCTTCGAAGTGATTCCACTAGTTTACTAACCAACTTGGAGTTGTCTGTTATATTAAATTTTGACAGTTGAGTGGAGAGAGAGAGAGCCGTTCGGTCTCTAGATCTGATTATGTGATATTATTTTACTTTATCTAGGAGAATATAGGTTAATTACAAAGCTTTAATAATTTTTTTAATAAAAAAAATAAAAAGATGCCAAGACTAAGGTCATGATAATAGCATCATGTTTTGATCCAATATCGTAGCCTGTCTGCCACGCTTTATTTTAATCAATTTACTTTAAATAGCAGTTAAAATAAACAAGTTCAATTATAAAGCTTATAAAATAACTATTTTTGGATAGTTGGGTAGTTAGATATAGGGGTGTTCAAAAATGTAAAAACCGAACTGAACCAAAAAAACGATTAACCAGAAAAGATTTGGTTACGTTACGGTTCAAAAAAATCAAAAAACCAGATTTTGGTTCAGGTAAAATAAAAAAACCAGTTAATCGAAACCGGTTTTTTACTATATAATATATATATAATATATATATATATATTAATATATATATATATATATATAAGATTCTCTCTTAAATAAAAAAATAATATATATTATATATTAAATAAAAATAAAAATAATAATCTTAATCTCTAAATTCACTAAATAATAAATATTATATATGTATGAATGTTTAATTCTTTTTTTGGATATGTACTGTTGATGTTTACAATTTAATTTAGGAAAAATTAAAAAAATATATATTTTATCCAATAAAAAAGGGAAAACAGGTTTTTCAGTTAACCAAAAAACCGGTTTTCCTCTCAAACCAGCTCAGTTTCGGTTCGAAAAAATGTTTCGGTTCGAGAATTTTTTCGAACCGAAACACCGATTTGGTTCCAAAAAATAGTTAATCGGTTTGGTTAACCCCTTTTGAATACCCCTAGTTCGATAAGACTTTTGCGCATATACTCAAGAGGTCTTGAGTTTAAGTCTCTCTCCGGTTACTAATAGGAGTAGCCAGTTCACTGAAGCTCTTACTCTGCTAATAATTCCAAAGTCTCAGAGGATTAATTAAGATGCACGTAAGCTTACTCGAACACCCCTGATCATTAGAAAAAAAAATAGATTATAAAATTGAAAAATGAAATTACCAAGTTATGCCGTTTCTTGGAAGAGAAAAAGAAAATTGAAAGTGTCATACAATTAAATGCTCCTTTAGAAGGCATTAATTGAAAGTCGTATTTAATTAAGTAATTACAGTAAAACCTTTCTATAGTCATAATGGTGGGACTAACTAATTTTATTACTATGAGGAGGTTATAACTTAATAGAGATGTAGTTACAAAAAAATTTTATTTCATAATTCATGTTTTAATAATACAATATTAGGATTTCAATTTATGTTTTAATAGTATTAGGGTTTCAATTCAGCGCTTTAATTACCTACTTTTGAAACGAATAGAAGACAGTGTCTTGGAACTAACAAAGATAAGTGTCCTTGATGGAATTATAAATGTAATTGTTGTATGGTCAATTGATGTGAAGCCACGGACAATTGTCAATTGTTTTAAGCACTGCAAAATTAGGACCCTCGATGTTGATGAATTGCAAATTATAAATGAAGAGTCATTCGACAACTTCACTATACTAATCGAATGGATATTAATATCTTCTTCAATCATCCATATAAGCAATAAGTCATGTATGTTTTAACTGAAGAAGAAATCATTACTACAATTAGACAAGAAGAGAAAAGAAATAATAATGAGAATGATAGTATGAAAATACAAAAAGTTTCGTGTCAATAAGCTCTAAACATGCTTGAGAAGCTATAAATGTTTTGGCTTCAACAAAAAAATGTCAATGTCGACGAGTAATGTACCTGCAAGTTAAAAGATATGGTAATAACTCTAAAGAATAAATCATTGTCCCAAACAACTTCAAATAAATATTTTTATTTCATCTTAAACCTTTAATATAACATAACATTTTTTTTTTTTTTTTTGCAATATACAAATAATTATTACTATGTAGAGATAATTTTCCTTAAGACGGGAATTAAAAACATTATAACTTATTACAATGTGGAGTTTTTTCTTATTTATAACTATCCCAGATTAAGAATATCATTTTTTATGAATATGTAGAGTTTATTCTAATATAGAGTATCACTATAGTTGAATAAGTGTTTTGTCAAATAATTAAAACACATTCTTAATATAAATTAATTAATTAGTGAATAATTAGAGAGTATTAATCAATTAGGTTAGGTAATAGAGCAATATAATATGGGTTGAAGTCAACTAGTAGAGAGTATGGACATTATAAAAGAAGTAAACAACAACAAAGTACTGAAAATTTTAATTTATGAAATCTAAATCTCATTTTAATATTTTACTTCAAAACCTAACTAAGATTCTTGAGTATTATAAAATGTCTGGTAGTAACAAAACTAAAAAATGTTTAGTCTTACAAGATATTTTCTTTTAGGATCGGTGGTGTTCGGGTTAACTTACTTATATTACAACTAATTATCTTGAACCTTGAAACTATCAGTCGAGTAAAAACTCTAGTGACCACGCTTATTAACAATTGAGGAGAGACTCAAATTCAAAACCTCTTAAATAATATACTCAAGAGTTCTTATCGAACTACTCAACCATCCAAGTCTTACAATATTAGGAAGTCTAATTTCATTAACTATTTAGTCTTTTCATTAAAATAAGTCAAAATCACATATGAAATTTCCTAAATTTTATCAAAAATAAAAGATTAATTTTGTGAATTTGTTGCAGTAATGGTGGCGTGGAATTGAGAGGGAGTGAGGAAGTCAAAGTATGGAGATGGCGACTAGTCAACTGGAGAGACCGACCGATGTCGAGAAAATTATGTGTTAGAGTTGTATGGAAGTAAGTGATGTTAAACGTTTAATTTAATTTAAGAATTTACTCACTCCTAAGTTTGTGCGTGATTGCTTTTGTCTGCCTCCCCCTCCTGTCTTTTTAAAGGGTATCAAAATTACCATAATGTCACCATCTCCGGACAATCACACAATTCAACATCAAAATTTAGATTTAGAAATAAATAAATTTGAGCCAAAGATAATACTTCTTGCTCACGATAAATTATCCTATCTTAATTTGCTGTTTTAGGGTAAAGAATCTAACATTATTTATTTAAAATACATAAAAGAAGGTGGAGAGATGAAATACCAACAGCAACGGACAATAACAATTTGAAAAATAATTTATTTTTTGTTATATACCCCAATGCCCTATCTTTCTTGAAAAATGACCCAAATTATTACAATAAAAATTGGTTTACAACTTCAACGTGACAGTTTGTAAATTAACAAACGGAACTTATAATGAATTGAAAAAACTCATTTGTAAACTGACTAATTACGAATTATCACGTTGAGAGTTATAGAAAAAAATTTATAACATTTAATTGTAAATGTAGTATTGTCAAATTATTATCGTTTTCATTTAATTAGAAGGTGGGATATATTATCAACAAACAAAGATTTCATTTCTTTAATAATTATAATGTGAAAATAATATATATAACATTTAAATCTAACCAACACTTGCACCCCTCATTAATGGGTTCAGAACAATTAAATTTTGATTCGCTGGACTGATAGAAACCCTCTTTAAGAGGCTTAAGAAGATGTCAATTTCACAATTTATTATTTCCCAAAATCTCATTTTCATCATAACTATCAATTTCTCATCTTTTTTACACATTAAGAGAATTTTCACTTTTTTTTATTATTATTATTTCCAGCTACCTAACATTGATAAAAATATTTTTTGCGGAATTTTGGTCAAACTTATATTGAATTTCATAAGTAAAAGAACAAATAGATATATCTGAGGAAATTAAAAACAAATAAAACATAAATAGATTTATATAATTTTAATATTGGATGAATTAAATATTTTCATTTTCTAATTCAACCAAAAATAAATTTCCAAACAAGTTATGGTACCCACGTTCCACCTTCCAATCTGGCGACCACACCAAACCTAAAATGGTCATTTCGCCTCTCTGAAAGAGTAATTTTCTAAAAAAAGAAGGGTTTTTTGGTCTTTTTACAACAGCCACAGTATTTTGAGTGTGAAAGAGAGAGAATGGCTTGCAGTGTTGGCAATCCAATGTCTTATTCAGTTTAGCCTCAAACCCAAACAAACACAAAAACACTCTCGGCAGTTAAGCTGCTCCAATCTAACAACCACCAACTCTTTTCCTTCCTTCCTTTTGTTTTCTGGTTTTTAAAAAAAAAAAAGAAAAAGAAAAGTAAAACAAAACAACTATTCTCTTCTCTATCATTTATTAGCTTCATTAATTCATTCCTTAACTTCTCATTTCATTCATTCATCTAGTATTTACTCTCACTGCCACTGCATGAACACATTGCTCTCAACTTTCTGAGCCGAAACGATGCCGTTGCTGAGGTTTCCGGTCAGAAATGAGTACAGCCTGGGTCATCCGGAGCTCTACAAGGAGGCCAATAAAGAAGATCCCAAAGCCGTGCTTGACGGTGTTGCTGTAGCTGGCCTTGTTGGGATCTTGCGTCAATTAGGCGATCTTGCTGAGTATGTTGTATCGTTTTGCTTGCTTTCTTCATAAATTTACTCAAAAATAATCATTATGTAATTGTTTTGTACACTTAAGCTTATGGTATGAGAATTTTCTTTGTTTTGTTATGTGTTTCCCGGTAGAATTAGTTTATAGTAAGAGTATTTTAGGTTCATGACTGACAAATTTTGACCACAAATTGGTTTGATTAAGAGTTGAGAATAAAATTTGAAGATAATAGCAAGTGATAATCTTCAGTCTAACCGTACAACTACTTGAATTCTTTTGTTCCGTTGATAAACTAACTTAGAGTTTCAATCTATGTATGCTTATTATGATAGGTTTCTATGTTCTTACCTTGAGTGACGGAAAGGAAAGGGTAGGAAAATGTAACTCTAAATATGAAGAATGTGAAAGTGGAGCAGTTGAGCATGCAGAACCGGTCATATGAAGTTCTAGAGTGTTGCAAATTGAAATAATCCTCTTTAGTGAGTAATTAGAAGGGAAAATTCTATGGTATTTCTGAAACTTGTGTTTTGCCAAAATTTGTGGCTTAAAGGTGTGTTCCATAAGGCCTTCTCTAGCTTTTTCATTGAAGAGCATTTGTGTGTTGTCAAGGTGAAGTAAATTTTTTTGACGGAGGTATAACTAAGAAATTTGTTAATCTGATACATCTAGTTATTCACATGAAATTTCACTAATTAGAGTTATATTCGGTCTGAATCTTCTTGTTCCCAGCGTCAATAAAGATTCATGACTGAAAGGAGTTTTAGGTGCAAATTACAGGAGTGTGCTCTATAAGCTTGGTGGCAAGTAAAACTACGTTCAAAATTCTTATTTTTGTTGAGCTTTTTCTTTCTGGTCTTAAAACTGAGTTCCTTGAATGGGTTAAAGGATCCAAAGAATAGAGATTGTTTGCTGCTTCTTTGTGGTACACTGCTCAATCTATGTAGTTATGTTACATAAGGTATCCATGGGTCAGAAATGAATATGTCATAGTTTGTCTTCCTTGAACATGGATTTAGGTGGCATCTTTGACATCTTTGATATGTTGTAGGTTTGCAGCCGAGGTTTTTCATGGCTTGCAGGAGCAAGTGATGACAACAGCTTCAAGAAGTCATAAGTTGAAGGTTCGTGTGCAACACATTGAAGCTTCACTTCCTTCCCTTGAGAAAGCCGTACTGGCCCAAACAAGCCACATTCATTTTGCTTACACAGCCGGTATGGCTCTTGTACCTGCGCTGTAACTTGCTCTTGGTTTTTCTATGTGCTCCTTAAATAGCTTCTTGTATGTAGATGGTCCTGTATTATCTTGGATCATGGGATTCCAGACTAACCTGCGGGAAAATTTCTCAAGTATTTACTCATTTTTTCTGCTTACACTTAAATTTTTTAACATAGTATAGAAATATGTCTTTCCAGTAGAAAGTGTGTCATTGCACTATACTGTAACTGGCTCAGTGTTCAGTGCTTGAATTAAATCTTGGAGTTTTCCTCACTTGAGTTGTTGCATTGAAATTTATTATGCCCTGTGACTGTGATTCCATTTAATATTAATTTTCAAATAATTCCAATCTTTATAGAAAGCAGTTGCCTTGCAGGTTCTGAGTGGCATCCTCGTATTGAAAATGAGCAAAACCATTTTGTGTACAATGACTTGCCACGATTTATTATGGATTCCTACGAAGAATGCCGTGATCCTCCACATCTTCACTTGCTTGACAAGTATGACTATTTTTATCCATCTTATTCAGCATTAATGAACTTCAAAGTTTTATTTTAGATGCTCATTTCTCCTGCTTTTCCAATCAGATTTGATACTGGTGGGCCTGGATCTTGTCTGAAGAGATATTCAGATCCAACCTTCTTTAAAAGAATATCAGGCAGCTCCATTGAAGCAACTGCTGAGAAATTACAACGAGATAAGAAGACTCGTAAAAGCAAGGTATGCATATACTAATGAAGGATCTTTTTGGTCTGAACTGCATCCACTTTGTGAAGCTTTAATCTATTCTTATTATCATGTCTGGTCATCAGATATTTTGTAGTCACAAATTCGTTTTAGTTACTTATATTCAACATATTGAACTTTCAAGTATTCATAAAGTGCTATTATTGTGGATTTATTTTCCTTTGAGAATTTCTTGATGGAAATTCATGCATATTTAGTGAGAAAATTTAAATTAATTTCTTCAAGTCTGGTCATAATTTGCTTTCATGTATATATGAACAATGTAATTACTTCTATGTGGTTGCCTTTGGGAATTATTTCTGAATGAACAATGTCAATGCACAGAAAAAAAGGCCCTCTCAGAGGAATGGCGAAATATCACGCATTGCATCAATGTCCAGTCACAGTGGCAGGTAATTTATATACATCCCTGTAGTTGATCCAAATTTTTGCCATATCCACTTTGATGAAGTATTTGCTAGATGTTTATTGATGTCATACCATGCAGATTCCATATGTCATCTCAAGCTGTTAATGGACGGACTTCTTCTCAAACTGCATCTACCATTGATATGACATTGAAATCTGACTTTGGAGATCATTCAAATTCTTTTGATTCAAGAACTGGGTCAGGTTAAATAGAATGTGTTTTCAATCTAAGCTCTTCCTTGCAACCTGGAGATCAAGAGTCTAAGGAATCCACGTCTAGTTTGATGCAGCATATTGATACCCTTGATTCCAGGTTTTGTGATGAGTCTACGCGGATGGTAGATGACAGTTTTCCATGCAGTTCATCACAAGAGCAAACTGCTCCAAGATTGTCTTGTGTTAATTGGGACGAAAAGGCTGAAATAGTGGAGCCTGCAGATCAACAATGCGACAGAGATGAAGACCCAGAGGTGCTTTCAACAAGCTTTGACATAGATACACGGGACAGAGGAAATGCCAACCTTGAAAATGTTGATCAAAAGGATGTCATGCTATCTGACGAAGACACTCCTGAATTGATTCTTGATACAAATCAGCTTGATGAAGTTGAAAGTGAACCAGATACTTTTATGGATGCTCTTAACACCATTGAATCGGAATCTGAAAATGATCTTGATTACCAAACAAAACGAGAAGTGGAGCAATATTTGTCTGATGTCAGAAATGACAGAAAAGAAGATGGAATATATGCGTCCATGGGACATGATTCAGATCATTATCCATCTACTATTGAGTCTCATATGGTATCCAACATCTTGCCAAGTAATGGAATTCCCTGTGCTTTAAACTCAGTCCCCTCAGAGAGTGTTGTCCTTGAACAGACACAAATTTCTGGAAAGTCTTCTGATTCAGACCATTCACTGGACACTGATGTCTGTGCTAGTTCTGATATTCTTGATGTTTTACAAGCAGAATCAGTTGTCATTGATGGTCCACCAGCAGAATCAGTTGTTGATGATGGCCCACAAGCAGAATCAGTTGTTGTTGATGGTCCACAAGCAGAATCAGTTGTCATTGATGGTCCACAAGCAGAGTCAGTTGTCGTTGATGGTCCACAAGCAGAGTCAGTTGTCGTTGATGGTCCACAAGCAGAGTCAGTTGTCATTGATGGCTCACAAGCAGAATCAGTTGTCACTGATGGCCCACGAGCAGAATCAGTTGTCACTGATGGCCCACGAGCAGAATCAGTTGCCATTGATGGTCATCAAACAGAATCAGTAGTCGCTGATGCTCGTCAAGCAAAATCTGTTATTATTGATGGTCCAAGAGCTGAGTCTGTTATAAGTGATCCATCATCCTCTGGCTCCAGGATTTCTAATTCTTGGGATCAATCTGGTGATAAGATCATAAGCAGTTTTAGTGAATCTCAACAACCTCATGCTGAATTTTCTGGCGTTCAATCAGTTACATTCTGGACAAATGGTAACCTATTGGGACTAGAGCCATCAAAACCTCCTGCTTTTGCTGTGTCAAATGTCACGGGTCAGGATTATGTTGCCCGAAGTACAAGTGAAACAGTAGGTCCGCCAAATTCAGCTGTCAAGAGTGATGGGCAAAGAGGAAAACTGAATACATTGGTTGAGAGTGCTGAAAGTTTTGTGGCAGTTTCAAGTTCTAATAATGAAAAAGTTCAACTTCCGTTAGATTATTCAGATTCTAAAGTTGAAAAATCCATTGGTGCTCAAAATAGTATTAATCATGGTCATGAAGGTGGTTTGAATGTAACTTCTGTAGCTGTGTCGGGAACTGAGCTGGCACCAGATGTCAAAGTAAAATCTACGGAAGCAAATCAAGGAAATGATGGAAACTCAACTGTAGTGTTTGGACTTGGTCATAGGTTACTTGTAAATGGTTTTCGTAGAAAGGTGCCCCTTGCTCATGATGAAAAATCTGAATCAGTTGGCTCTCTTGTAGCCAGTGTGTTAGATCAGGATACTGGGCACCATTTTGATGCAAATCAGCCAATTTTAAAGACAACCTTTGTGGAGCAGTTTGGGCATGGATCTCCTCTAGGTTCACTCACTTCTTCACCACCACTTGAACATATGAAAATATCTTTCAACCCTATAGATGGCCTTGAGACTTCTAAACTGAAACTAAAATTTCCTGATGGGAATCAATCTCATGAAAGCATTAGAGATATGTTTGCTTCATTTCAGTTGGTCCCTGAGCCTGCTATTGCACTGCATGGGTATGGTTCTGATTCTGATGATGATACCTTCTGCAGATCATCTCCTTATATGTCAGATGATTGTCTTAGTCACCAGTCTGAGTCAAATTCAGAGCAGTGGGAATCTGATGAATCCCCTGGAGGAAGCAAGGACCATGAGCTATATGATGCTTTATGCCGAATGTCATCAATGGAAGCTGTCTCAAGCTCTCTGCAGATGGAAGGAACAACTAGGAATGGCATGCATGTTGACCGAGGACTTCAAATTATGTATATGGAGAATGGTGTAGAACCTTGTCTGTCGAGTCTTGATCTTCCAAGTTTTGATGCCATGAACCCTGTATTAAATGGGGAAATAAAGTCCAATGATCCTAAAAATATTCAACACTAGGAAAACTCTAGGGAAGTCACCCCACTGCCTCCACCTCTCCCTCCAGTGCAATGGCGGGTCACTAAGTCCCATTCAGATGTGGCTGAAGAGGAACAATATTCTGTATCAGAGGCTTTGGAACATGGATTAGACCTGAAGCATTTGGAATCTACCATCTATCAGCAACGTGAGCCAGCCCCGGCTAATCAACTATCATCTGAAAAGGAGAACGTCATTTCTAATTGCGACAGCAAGGTAACAAGGCTGAATTATTGGATTTTCCAATTTTCATTTTATATTCAATAAAGCATATGCAGAATGCAGAACTACCAATATATGACTTGTGGAATTTTATTTGTAAAGCAGGAAGACCAGCAGAAGTTGAATAGGCAGAAGGAAGCTAATCAGGATGCAAATGGCAAGGGGTTCGATGAGAAGGAGGATTTCTTGCATCAAATTAGGACAAAAGTGAGTAGCTACCTTGTAAGTTAAGATAACACGCCCTATCTTTCTTGAAAAATAACCAAATTATTAAAAAAAAATTGGTTTAAATTTCAAGTGACAGTTTGTAATTAACAAATGGAACCATAGTGAATTGAAAAAACTATTTGTAAACTAACAATTGCGATTGTCACGTTGAGAGTTATAGAAAAAAAGTTTGTAACATTTAATTAAATGTAATATTGTCAATTATTATCTTTCTCATTTAATTAGAAGGTGTGAATATTACAACAAACAAGATTTCATTCTCTTTAATATTATAATGTGAAAATAATATAATAACTTTAATCTTCAACAAAACCAACACTTGCATCACCCTCATTAATGGGTTCAGAACAATTAAATTTTGATTCGCTGGACTGATAGAAACCCTCTTTAAGAGGCTAAGAAGATGTCAATTCACAATTTTATTTCCCAAAATCCATTTTCATCATACATCAATTTCTCATCTTTTTACACATTAGAGAATTTTCACTTTTTTTTTTTTATTATTTCCAGCTACCTAACATGTAAAATATTTTTTGCGGAATTGGTCAAACTTATATTGAATTTCATAATAAAAGACAATAGAATATTTGAGGAATTAAAAACAATAAAACATAAAGAGATTATATATTTTATATGGATAATTATAAAACAATTTAAATTCAAATAATATATTTCATTTTCTAATTCAACCAAAAATAATTTCCAACAAGTTATGGTACCACGTTCCACTCTTCCAATCTGGCGACCACACCAAACCTAAAATGGTCATTTCTCTCTGAAAGAGTATTTTCTAAAAAAAAGGGTTTTTTGGTCTTTTTACTAACAGCCACAGTATTTTGAGTGTGAAAGAGGAGAATGGCTTGCAGTGTTGGCAATCCAATGTCTTATTCAGTTTAGCCTCAAACCCAAACAAACACAAAACACTCTCGGCAGTTAAGCTGCTCCAATCTAACAACCACCACTCTTTTCCTTCCTTCCTTTTGTTTTCTGGTTTTTAAAAAAAAGAAAAAGAAAAAGCAAAACAAAACACTATTCTCTTCTCTATCATTTATTAGCTTCATTATTTCATTCCTTACTTCTCATTTCATTCATTCATCTAGTATTTACTCTCACTGCCACTGCATGAACAATTCTCTCAACTTTCTGAGCCGAAACGATGCCGTTGCTGAGGTTTCCGGTCAGAAATGATAAGCCTGGGTCATCCGGAGCTCTACGAAGAGGCCAAAAAGAGAGATCCCAAAGCCGTGCTTGACGGTGTTGCTGTAGCTGGCCTTGTTGGATCTTGCGTCATTAGGCGATCTTGCTGAGTTGTTGTATCGTTTTGCTTGCTTTCTCATAAATTTACTCAAAAATAATCATTATGTATTGTTTTGTACACTTAAGCTTATGATGAGAATTTTCTTTGTTTTTTATGTGTTTCCCGGAGAATTAGTTTATAGTAGAGTATTTTAGTTCATGACTGACAAATTTTGACCACAAATTGGTTTGATTAAGAGTTGAGAATAAAATTTGAAGATAATAGCAAGTGATAATCTTCAGTCTAACCGTACAACTACTTGAATTCTTTTGTTCCGTTGATAAACTAACTTAGAGTTTCAATCTATGTATGCTTATTATGATAGGTTTCTATGTTCTTACCTTGAGTGACGGAAAGGAAAGGGTAGGAAAATGTAACCTAAATATGAAGAATGTGAAAGTGGAGCAGTTGAGCATGCAAACCGGTCATATGAAGTTCTAGAGTGTTGCAAATTGAAATAATCCCCTTTAGTGAGTAATTAGAGGGAAATTCTATGGTATTCTGAAACTTGTGTTTTGCCAAAATTTTGGCTTAAAGTGTTGTTCCATAAGGCCTTCTCTGCTTTTTCATTGAAGAGCACTTTGTGTTGTCAAGTTGAAGTAAATTTTTTTGAGGAGGTATAACTAAGAAATTTGTTAATCTGATACATCTAGTTATTCACATGAAATTTCACTAATTAGAGTTATATTCGTCTGAATCTTCTTGTTCCCAGGTCAATAAGATTCATGACTGAAAGGATTTTTAGGTGCAAATTACAGGGTGTGCTCATAAGCTTGGTGGCAAGTAAAACTACGTTCAAAATTCTTATTTTTGTTGAGCTTTTCTTTCTGGTCTTAAAACTGAGTTCCTTAATGGGTTAAAGGATCCAAAGAAAGAGATTGTTTGCTGCTTCTTTGTGGTACACTGCTCAATCTATGTTTATGTTACATAAGTATCCATGGGTCAGAAATGAATATGTCATAGTTTGTCTTCCTTGAACATGGATTTAGGTGGCATCTTTGACATCTTGGATATGTTGTAGTTTGCAGCCGAGGTTTTTCATGGCTTGCAGGAGCAAGTGATGACAACAGCTTCAGAAGTCATAAGTTGAAGGTTCGTGTGCACACATTGAAGCTCACTTCCTCCCTTGGAAAGCCGTACTGGCCCAAACAAGCCACATTCATTTTGCTTACACAGCCGGTATCTCTTGTACCTGCGCTGTAACTTGCTCTTGGTTTTCTATGTGCTCCTTAAATAGCTTCTTGTATGTAGATGGTCCTTATTATCTTGGATCATGGGATTCCAGACTAACCTCGGGAAAATTTTCAAGTATTTACTCATTTTTTCTGCTTACACTAAATTTTTAACATAGTATAGAAATATTCTTTCCAGTAAAAGTGTGTATTGCACTATACTGTAACTGGCTCAGTGTTCAGTTTGAATTAAATCTTGGAGTTTTCCTCACTTGAGTTGTTGCATTGAAATTTATATGCCCTGTGACTGTGATTCCATTTAATATTAATTTTCAATATTTCCAATCTTTATAGAAAGCAGTTGCCTTGCAGGTTCTGAGTGCGTCCTCGTATTGAAAATGAGCAAAACCATTTTGTGTACAATGACTTGCCACGATTTATTATGGTCCTACGAAGATGCCGTGATCCTCCACATCTTCACTTGCTTGACAAGTATGACTATTTTTATCCATCTTATTCAGCATTAATGAACACAATTTTATTTTAGATGCTCATTTCTCCTGCTTTTCCAATCAGATTTGATCTGGTGGGCCTGGATCTTGTCTGAAGAGATATTCAGATCCAACCTTCTTTAAAAGATTCAGGCAGCTCCATGGAGCAACTGCTGAGAAATTACAACGAGATAAGAAGACTCGTAAAAGCAAGGTATGCTTACTAATGAAGGATCTTTTTGGTCTGAACTGCATCCACTTTGTGAGCTTTAATCTATTCTTATTATCATGTCTGGTCATCAGATATTTGGTAGTCACAAATTCGTTTTAGTTACTTATATTCAACATATTGAACTTTCAAGTATTCATAAAGTGCTATTATTGTGGATTTATTTTCCTTTGAGAATTTCTTGATGGAATTCATGCATTTTAGTGAGAAATTTAAATTAATTTCTTCAAGTCTGGTCATATTTGCTTTCATGTATAATGAACATGTAATTACTTCTATGTGGTTGCCTTTGGGAATTATTTCTGAATGAACAATGTCAATGCACAGAAAAAAAGGCCCTCTCAGAGGAATGGCGAAATATCACGCATGTGCATCATGTCCAGTCACGGCAGGTAATTTATATACATCCCTGTAGTTGATCCAATTTTTGCCATACCACTTTGATGAAGTATTTGCTAGATGTTTATTGATGTCATCCCATGCAGATTCCATTGTCATCTCAAGCTGTTAATGGACGGACTTCTTCTCAAACTGCATCTACCATTGAAGGACATTGAAATCTGACTTGGAGATCATTCAAATTCTTTTGATTCAAGAACTGGGTCAGGTTAATAGAATGTGTTTTCAATCTAACTCTTCCTTGCAACCTGAGATCAAGAGTCTAAGGAATCCACGTCTAGTTTGATGCAGCATATTGATACCCTTGATTCCAGTTTTTGTGATGAGTCTAGCGGATGGTAGATGACAGTTTTCCATGCATTCATCACAAGAGCAAACTGCTCCAAGATTGTCTTGTGTTAATTGGGACGAAAAGGCTGAAATAGTGGAGCCTGCAGTCAACAATGCGACAGAGATGAAGACCCAGGGTGCTTTCAACAAGCTTTGACATAGATACAGGGACAGAGGAAATGCCAACCTTGAAAATGTTGATCAAAAGGATGTCATTCGATCTGACGAAGACACTCCTGAATTGTCTTGGACAAATAAGAGAGCCGTTCGGACTCTGGATCTGATTATGTGATATTATTTTACTTTATCTAGGCAAATATATAGTTAATTACAAAGCTTTAATATTTTTTTTAATTAAAAAATAAAAAAAAGATGCCAAGACCAAGGACATGATAATAGCATCATGTTTTGATCCAATATCGTAGCCTGTCTGCCACGCTTTATTTTAATCATATTTACTTTAAATAGCAGTTAAAATAATACAAGTTCAATTATAGAGGTTATAAAATAACTATTTTTGGATAGTCCGGTAGTGAGATATAGGGGTGTTAAAAAAAATACAAAAATCGAACCAAACCGAAAAACCAGTTAACCAAAAAAAGGTTCGGTTATGGTTCAAAAAATTCAAAAAACCAGATTTTATGTTCGGTTTTTGGTTCGAGTAAAAATGAAAACCAATTTACTAAAAAATATATATATTATCTATTAAATACAGAAATAATATATATTATTTATTAAATAAAATAATAATAATCTTAATCTCTAAATTCATTGAATAATATATATTATATATGTATGAATATTTAATTTTTATTTGGATATATATTGTTGATGTTTACAATTTAATTTAGGAAAAATTAAAAAAATATATGTTTTATCCAATAAAAAGGGGAAAACTGGTTTTTCAGTTAACCGAAAAATCGATTTTCCCCCCAAACCGGTTCCGTTTCGATTCGAGAATTTTCCTAAATTGAAAAACTAGTTCGGTTATAGAAAACAGTTAACCATTTTTTAACACCCCTAGTTCGATAGGACTTTTGTGCATATACTTAAGAGATATT